GTATCTCATAAGAAGTCTTTTATTTATTTATTTATTTATTTATTTATTTATTTATTTATTTATTTATACATACTAACTTTAATATCCTGCTCTGAAAGACCAAGGAAGAAATTACTAAGCAATAGCTACAATGCATATAAGTTGACCCATGACACCACCCAAAAACACTTTGGGACCCCTTGAGGTTCATGACTCCCAGAGTGGGAAACACTACTATACAGTATAGGAATCCTGGAAGCAATAGTATGAGAGCTTAGATCATCTAAACACTTACTTCATGGCAAGATTGTTCTATGAAATGCATCTACTATGAGAAGTATTACAAAAATACCTTTTCAATGAAAATAGAATGAAGTTCGCCTATGTACAAGAATCAAAACCATCTAATTTATACCTTAAAGGGTTCAACTTACAAGTCTTAATGAGGCAACTTTATTTGAGCATGAACACCATTTTCTTAGCTGTAGCCACAACAACCAGTTCTGAAACCATTTTTTCTCTCTCACCCCTTCTTTTTTAACCTTCTCTCTCCTATTGACCCAGTTAGTTCTGACCAGAGAAAGGTACAGGGAAACATTTTCAGGCTCTTGCTTCACTTTTCATGAACTTGTCTATATTAATATATTACCCCAGAAAATCGAATGAATGCTTGGCAAGTCATCTCCTCAAACTCCTTTCAGAGACTCAGTGTACGGTTTCTGACTAGGTGAAATGTTGCGGGACATCTTGAAGAAACCATTCTTATATAATTCAAACACTTTCCAGAACAAGGTGTGGAATAGAAGAAAAGGTGGAATATTTTAGGGTCTGAAAAATACTTTAAGATAGAGTGAAATCTACCAGACAAAACTATTCTGAGAAAGTACCGCATAAATACTGCTGTGTTCTCATAAAGCTTTAAACACAGAGAAATCTTAATTAAAATACAATACCTGAAAATAGGTATTAACAACAGAAATGCATACAAAAATTCTCATCTTGCATTCTAATCAACTGAATTCAAATAGCTCAGAAATATATCTGTAAAGGTTAATAACATCATTATGTTATCCTTGTAGAAACCCAACTAGCTTTAAAGAATTAGGTTTAAACTCAACTACTGTTAAGTTGAAGATATTCACATCTCAAGGACTGTGTGTTACTCAGCACATCCACAGAATCAGGATATAAGGATGAGCTCTGTACTGAATGGTAGCTCTCATGTTTTGCAACGGATGAAGTTGCTAGTCCTCATAGTGAGAGAAAAATTAATTGTCCCATGAAGCATCTGAAATCTGAGTGTGACCGAGTTGAGTCCATGTTTTCTTCTTATTGTCACTATTATTTGAGACTAGTTCCTTTTGTCTACTTCTGATGAATATTCATTTCAATACCATTCTCATTCCTGATGTCTACATTCTGCTACCCAGTCTCTGGCAAACAGCATACAGTAAATCCAAAAAAGCTTTAAGGTCAAGATCAAAGTAAAAGACTTGACTTAAAGGATAAAGGAGACCATCAGGACTTTCACGGGGGGGGGGGGTGAGCACATAAACCTCATTGTTTTTGTTATTAATTGATTTTATTTTATTTTCCTTATTTGGCTACTGGGATATATGTAGTGTACATCTAGCTACGTTTTTGTTATTAATTGATTGATTTTATTTTATTTTCCTTATGTGGCTACTAGGATATATGTAGTGTACATCTAGCTACGTATTGGTTTACCCAAATGATGTACTCTTATTCAAAAAGTGCAAATCAAACTGCAGTGGAAGGAATCTGATTTAGCAAATAAAATAAGCCTTTAAGTAAAAGGCTCAACAATAAGAGAGAGCCAGTTCAGCCTAACCTGGGACTGCAACTCCAATTCTGGTTACCCCATTTTATCATGAATTACATATGGCACTCCAAGCAGTCACAAGAGATATGCAATGTAAGTTCACAAGACACAGGATATACTGAAAAACTTAGCATGTTTAATTTAGAGATTTACAGTACAGATTACTCTACATACACATCTTTGCAGAAGTTCCATTGATTTCAGTGGGGCTTAAATGCAAATACGTAAGAATAGGATTGCAGTTATCAGGAAATACAGTGGTACAGTATTTTCAACTACCCAGATGACTATCCTAAAAGAATCCAAGGAATGACTTATATACTGTATATCAAACAGATGGGCTTGAATTCCAGAGAAATACATAAGCTGCAGCTTAAGAAATTTAAGAGTGAAACTGCACCTGAAGCTTAAGAAACTGTATGACTGAAAATGCTAAGCATCCAGCAATAGGCTTTACATTACAGAACACCTTTCTCTTGATGTTTCAAAGCAGCATGAGCATTACTGGTGTGGTTAAAGTCATGGTACAACATCATGGTACTACATCTGATTGAGCAGGATGGTCGTTTAAGAGTACTGTACTATTATCTCTGTGGTTTAGCTGGAACAGCATGAACATCTCAGGTCCCTTTGCAAGAACCATAATGCACATGACAATCTGGACTCTGAAAATAACAGCAGGTGTTTCTTCAACTTCATTTCCAAAGCATATCTCAACACTGTTACATTTTCCTGAAGTAGTTCAGTTCCCCACTGTGCTTCCCAGAAAAGCCAGCCTGTGCGGCCTTGGGCATGCTGCACAGTCCCAGAATGCACCCGAAAAAGGGAATGGCAAACCACTTCCGAGTACTGTACTCTCCGCCTAGGAAACCCTAAAAAGGGTCACCATAAAATCAATTGACAGGGTACAATTATTATTAGCTTTATTTGTAATTTAATCAATACTGTATATATTTTTGTATATGTAAAAAGTGCATCCAACATGGTTTTACGACTCACCAATGTGAAGCAATTACCTACTCTCAGGACCGCAATTCTAAATGGATCCAGCTTCCACCAGTGTTTCAACTAACCACTGTTTATTCTCACATCTTGTTTCTTCCCCCCCCCCGCCCCCGACACAAAAGAAGTACTATGTCAGAGCACAGTAGGGACAGTACCAATCCAATACTGCAAACAATGTATAATAAACCTTATTACAGACCTGAACATGCCTAACATACTTAGGCTACAATACTAAGTATATGTATTCAGTAGCACACCCATCTGAATAGTGGGGTTTACTTCGAAGTAAACGACCACAAGATGGGCTGCAAGAGTTTTCTTACAGAATGCAGGGCACTGCCACAACCTAAAAAATGAGAAGTTTTCTTAAACACATAACAGTATAGAAAAGTTTTAAACTAAATACTTAGCTTCTGCAAGTGACATCACCTTTTTGAAAAAGGTGGCGCTAGGTGGGAGTATGAAACTTGATACAAAATAAACAGAACTTTCAACAATGGAATGAGGGAAAGGAAATGGGTGCTCTAGATTCTGCACCCTAGAAGCAGGCAGCTCTTAGTCTACAAAAACAAGGTAATTGAAGAGACCTGCTTAACAGACAGTAGAACAGAGCAAGATAAAAGTTTAGACACGAGTTATAGTGCTTCTTTGCCTCTTCAGCAAACGAGTCTGCCCCACTGAAGTGGAAGAAACAATGATACTATAGATGCCCGATACGCGGAAGATCTTCCAGGTCAGTATCTGAAATACGATTAAACCATTTAAAAATAAAATAAAATAAAAACGGCCTTACCTGGAGGGTCCATTTCGATGTAAAATATCAGCTCAGTGGAATACGGCATCATCACCTCCCTCCAATCGGCGTCATCACGATCCATATCCCACACTGTATTGTACATTGTGATAAACTGGCAGATGGGCAATCTCTGGGATCCCTCTTTGTTCGCTTCTTTCCTTTCTTCCCGGTTTTCTTTTTTCAAATAAGTAGTATGCCACAGCACAAAATAAAGGTTATCCGCCCATCACACGTACTGAAAGGGGAAGAAAAACGCAAGGGAAAAAAACGAGGGGAGAAAGAAACTTTCTTAGGAATAGCTCAACGGTTTCCTCGTCAAGGAAAACCACTCCCCTCTCAGGAAGCGAGAGGAAGCAAAATAAATGCTTCCCCGGTCCTTTTGCAATCCTCTCCTTTCTTCTTGAACCACTATTAGTCCACCTTCCACCCCAAATCCAAAATAGCCAGGCGGAAAAAGAAAAGAACTGAGGTATTTCTTTTAAATAATAGAAAAAATAAAATAGGGCAAAATATGCAAAAACTGCGCGCGTGTGGAGGCAGTTTGGACTTCTTTTGCGGTTTGTTTTGTTCTGAGAAAGGAAAGTTTTAAGATAGCTTTGAGCAAATCGGATGCTCGCGGGGTTTTCCTACCCCCCTTCGTTTCGTTTTTTTTTCTTTTTTAAATATAATCCTCCTGATCTTCCCCGAGGCAAAGCGTGAGGGGAACGTCTTGCTCCTCTAACCCCTCAGGACAAAGCCCGCCGCGGCCAGTCCGGCGCCGGCGCTGCTGGCCCCCTGGACGCCCGGTGCTCCGGGCTGCAGCGGCTCCTGACCCGCTTCCCGCTGTACGCAAACCCAGCAGCAGCAGCAGTCGCCCCTCGCGCTCTGCACTGCTCGGCTACTCCCAGCCCCACTCGGATTCATTTTAAAGAGGCTCTGAGGGCCCCAACCGTCGCCAACCGCTTCTATGCCGGGGATGAAACTCCGCCCACCTGAGGGGAAACGGAGGAGGGGCAGAGCAGAGGGGAAAACTCCGCCCCCTTCGGTTAACCCTTTCGTTTGTGGTGCTGGTGTGCTGCTCTTAAGGGGCTTCAAAACAACAACAAAACCCCCGTTCTTCGGACGTGCGAAGAAATAAAACCTGCGACTCGGATTATGTTCTGTTTCCCCGCTTTGCCCTGGAGGCATGGCTCTCTTCACACGTATTTCATACACATGGGAAGTGATAGTGAATAGGGTAGTCGCGACATCCCGTGGGATACCTCCCAAGCTGGAGCAGCAGGAGATGGATAGGTTTTTTCCCCTTCCCCACCGTCCGTCTGCGCACCATGTGGATGTAGGACCCCTGCTTGGAGGTAAACCGGGCAGCGTCAGAATATTCCGAGATAGAAGGGACTTGTGAGGGACTCCCCCGCCCCGCGTCTCCTTTCCCTCCCAAATGGCAGGCAGAAGATGATGCAAAAGTATGTACTTATTTGCTGGCATGACCATCGACGCATAGGAGAGTAAGTGGCATGTTATTTTTGACCACCTACTTCCTACATGGTTGGGGTGTGTTTTTTTTACTGGTGTGTGTGTTTTAAACTGATATGCCCAGTCTTTGGGATTGTGGGTGCTGGGACTATGGATGTTTGTGAACGGTGGGGTTCTGCTACTTATTCCTCTAAATGAAGGAAAGAAACAAAAACTACGACTGTGCATGTTTTCGAGTGATATTGTGCATCGACATAATACATCAAATACTTATAATTATGATTGAAGCTCTAATTAGCAGCATCACCTACTACATAACATTCCCAGTTCCTACTCTTAAAAGGATTACTCCAAATGAAATGGGATGCAGGCATTGCAGTGGTGAGTAGCTAGCATATAGTTTATGGATATTCAGAAGTATTTGTGTTGTGGGATAAGAGATGTTCAGTTTAGGTATTAACTCTTTATGTATCCAGTATCCAAAAATGAGAAAACCCAAGTTTGTTTATCTGATCTGAAGCACAGAATCTGCACATTTATCATTGGTTCTGTACAGTACTCTAGGTGTACAGTATATCTTACTGCATAAATAGGAGTTGGACTGGCTTTTGAAAGAGAGGGACAAAGTACTGATTTGTCCATGTTCAGAAAAATTCCATCTTAATGCATGTACAGTGATACTGCTGGACAGTTTGCATTTTTTTTATTTATGTCACATAGCATTATACTTCCAATATGCTCATGCCTTTTAAATACTGGAAATAAGCAAGAGCACTCTCTGCCTAAACATGATTATAATTGTATTTGTTAATACACACATGCAATTTACTCCAGAGTCATGTTGTTAAAGTCAATGAGATTGCTAAACATGTAGATTACAGCAACTGTGAACTCTATGTGTGGGAAGTGTTGTTATGCACATAATGTGATAAAGTGGTTGTGACTGAAAATTTGTGGCAATGCAGACCAATCACAGCCATGTCTTCTTTAAATTTCACCTTGTCCAGTGAGATATATATCAATGTGAAAGAGTACAGGGCTGAAGCAACCCTAGTTGAATATGTGACAAATTGTGCAGGTGAGGCACTATGTGTATTTCGATGTGATGTGAAATCACTTAAAGTGATTAATGTGGTAGTTGTATGCACTTGCTGACAGTGAGATTGCTACCATTCAAATGCAAGTTTTTGGCTGGACACATTACAGAATGACTTCCCAAAGCAAAAAGGCACATTTTCATGCTTTTAAAACAGTATAATGTGACCTCTCCAGGAAAGGATCAGGCACTGTATGTGAAGTGTGAAAGAATCTGGTTTGCTTGTCATTCCAAGTTTAACACTGCTACTGTTGCCTCCGTAATCATTCAAAATTTGACATGTTCATGTTTGAAGGTTAGTCACAGAGATTTGCACAATCTGTAATATTTTACAGAATAAGCTATTGCACAATGTTCAGGAGTAGCAGAAACATCCATCTAATATATTTGCAGTACACAATCTATATTTGTACTGTAGTTTTAAGCTACATACATCAACTAACTATAGGTGTGCATGGCCACTCACAGCACTTGTTGCAGTTAATACCCATGCCATGCAAGTTTGTTTCAGGACCTCAGGGATACAGAATATAGAAAACCTGTACATACACCATCACATCTGACAAATTCATGCTTATCTGTTTTTGCTACATGTTCATATTTGCTGGGAAACTACAGTTGAATGCCCTCTAATTTCCTGGGTGCTTTGAAATGAGTGCAGTTTCACTACTTTGGAGGTATAAAAGTCATCATCTTTTATTTGCAGCTGTCCTATGTTTCCTCATTGCTGTTTCTGTGCCCTCCCTCAGCAGGAAACTTCATTAAGGCGGGAGGAGGGAAGAGATGAAATAACTGCATATGGCCCGTTGAGTGCCAACAGTAGGAACCCACCTTCCGGAAGCTCCTCACATCTGGGGAAAAGTCACTGATATGGCCCCTAATTGCAAATGGAAGCTTAACGTTTTGCGAAGGCAGTCCCCGTCTCTTCATTTTGCCACTTAAATGGGACTTCGAAAGGAAGTTCCCTTTATATCTTCCTATAATCTGTTCGTGACTGTCAGGCTTAGATTTCCAAGACGTAACGACGGTGATGGAGTTTGAGGGCAGTATCTCAGTTCAAGGACCAGCTTGTTGCTACTCTTAAACATTCAAAACCTGTTCAAAAGGCTGTGGGCAAAGACGTTCTGAGTAGTGGAAAGTTTTTTCCGTGCTGTAAACGGAGGCAAGCTCTGTAAGCAAATGGTTCGGGATACGTTTCTGAACTTTTAGCGCTTTGTGACAGAGAAAGTCCTAAGTGCTTTAATGAAGATAGTTGCAAAAATGGAAAGTTATTTGGAGTCCTTTTAAATATACGGACACTTTTCCACCTTCTCCTTATTTTAAGAAAAAAAAAGGGGGGGTGCATATTCTCTACCTGGCTCGTTGCCAGGACGGACGCCAGTTCAGCGCACAGGAGGGAAATGTGTGTGTGTGTGTGTGTTGGGGGGAGGGGGAGAGCGGATTAGTTAGCCCAGTTTGCGAGAGCCGCTTGGCTTGTCTTTTGTCTGAGAAGAAGCATGGAGCTTGCGGATTGGCTGAAAGGCCCTCCGCTGAAATATCCAATAGAAAGGCCATGAAGCCTGTCGGCTGATTCGGGATTGGTTGGAAGCTCTAGTTACTAAGCGGGACAAAGAAAAGAGGATGAACGGAGGGAGGGAGGGGGAGCGCAAGAGCTTGCGATCCCCACGTCCCTTCTTCCTCATCGGTGCCCCCCCCACAAGTTTTACTAAATGATGTTTCACTGCCAAAGGGAACAATAGGCACGAGTGACATACAGTATTACGAATGCCAGAGATGAAATGTGGATACTACCAGAATCGGCTGTAGATCTCTCGGCGTCTACCTGTCCCATATACAGTACTACATTCGACCATAATAGAAAGGCAAACGCAGTGTTGGCAAGGGCCACAATTTCAAAATCCAATCCAGGATAGATGGAACTGCCTGCAACATCCGCTGCTAGTCTTTCCGTCACGGTTTCCTGGCTTCAGCACTTGGCCCTGTCGCCCCGATGCCCTTTCCAGCTGTTTTGAGAAGTGGGGGCTTATGAGAATTTAGCACCTCAGCAAATAACTTGGGTTCCAACGGGTTTTAAAGAAATTAATACATTCATTTGTGGTCAGATGACTGTCGAAATGCTACTCAGGTTACATAAATCTCAGGAGGTACTGAGACGAACATTCCTATAAAGCATGTTGAAAGGAAACCACTGGAAAAAGTAGAAGTGTGAAGTAAGGAGAGAATAATAACAGTGGGGGGAGGGAAACAAGGAAAACTGAAAAGGAGTCTCTAGCTTTTATAAAGGCACAGAAGATTTATGACTAAAGCAGGAAATTCTCTCCCCCACCACCAAATTTTAGGGTAGGGTGCCTCCCTTACTCCCACAAGCTATCCTAATACAAACATCTACAACCGAAATCTGCTTTATCTGTGATTTAGTCCAATATCTGTTAGTATGATCCTAACCATGTCTACTCAGAAATAACTCTCACTAAATTCAATAAGGCTTATTCATGTAGAACGGCATTCCCCCTCATATGCACCTTTAACTTAGATTATTTTGCTTCCCTACAGTGAGATTCTAAATATCTTTACTCCCAAGCAAGTTTCACTAAATTCAACCGAACTTCTTCCAAGGAAGCCTTCTTAAGACTAATTGCACCACCATGCAGCACTGTATAGCATCTTCATTATTTGTTGCAGCAGACCCCAAACAAAAAGTAATGCATGTGATGCAAGGCTACAAGACAAAGCTATTAGATATTGCAGCATACTATAGTTTTTCCAAGTAGATGTTTGCAACTACCTTTAGTTTCTGCAATAGGTGACCACCTGTACAAAATCCAATTTCAGAGAGGAAAGAAACAGTTCTCTGAATAAACAAAAGAGTTTTCTAGAAATTTCCAAACAATATGACAGGGTCATGGCCGCATGGGCATGGACATGGACAGGAAATAAAGTTTCTTAGCTAATGGTGGAATCAATAGGGTATTCAGTGGAGGAGGAGGGAAGGCAACTCATAATATCGTAATTATCAACATTAAGATACAAGCTCAGAAACAAATTTCATATGAGAATGGTTTTATACCAGTTCCTCTCTCAACATTTCTCTGCTTGGGGCCATTCCTCCTAGTTTCTAGTTTTGCTGAATGCTCACCACTGCTGTGAAATGAATGTACTGTATATAATGTAACCCTTCTTCCATGATACCTGCACACATCTTGAGACACAAAGCTTAATTAAGAAACGTAATAAAATATAATGTTGGAAGCAGCTCTGAAATAGACAGCTTTGCTTCTTAAAGCAAGTAGTATATTGATCTGAAAATCAAGCAACTAATAATTTTGCTAATCATAGCTTTTGCTAATAATATCACATATTCAGATAACAAAATTCTGGTCATTTAACAACTCCCCTTCCTAGCACAGAGCTGATCAGGGTTTGGTGAGTGTTGAAAGTGTATAAAATGTGTCAAATAATTAGAAGCCTACATTCACTTTACATAAGTACACCAGTGGAGAATTTGAAGTTACTGCTGCTGCTGCTTGAATAATCTCAATAGCAAGTAATTGAAAGAAATCTGCTGCTACAGTAACCAGACCCCTTCAGGGAGAAAGAGCTGCATAAAAACATAGAGGTTTCATTCAAGTTATTCGCTTTAGAGAAATTAATTTTATATCCTTATTCATTCTCTGATTAATCCATGATGGGCAGATAGGCTCCCTCCTTTTTCATATTTTAAATTAAAAAAAAAAAACCTTAGACACTATTTCAGTGTGTTTCAATTCAGCACGCTCTGACAGAAGCAGTGAATCCCACAAGATGTTCATGAGATTACTTAACATTGATTAGATATCCTCTAATACATGGACATTGGAAATCAGCATACATGTGCACAGTGATCATCAAGCTTCCTTGATATCCTTGTGAGATCTACTTTATTTGTTGTCCTGACAT